AATAATAATAATAATAATAATAATAATAATAATAATAATAATAATAATAATAATAATAATAATAATAATAATAATAATAATAATAATAATAATAATAATAATAATAATAATAATAATAATAATAATAATAATAATAATAATAATAATAATAATAATAATAATAATAATAATAATAATAATAATAATAATAATAATAATAATAATAATAATAATAATAATAATAATAATAATAATAATAATAATAATAATAATAATAATAATAATAATAATAATAATAATAATAATAATAATAATAATAATAATAATAATAATAATAATAATAATAATAATAATAATAATAATAATAATAATAATAATAATAATAATAATAATAATAATAATAATAATAATAATAATAATAATAATAATAATAATAATAATAATAATAATAATAATAATAATAATAATAATAATAATAATAATAATAATAATAATAATAATAATAATAATAATAATAATAATAATAATAATAATAATAATAATAATAATAATAATAATAATAATAATAATAATAATAATAATAATAATAATAATAATAATAATAATAATAATAATAATAATAATAATAATAATAATAATAATAATAATAATAATAATAATAATAATAATAATAATAATAATAATAATAATGATATGTGCCCTAAATCCACCTGATTTGAGACAAACTTTTGGCTCTTGCCTAAATCCTGATTGTTAGGTTATTTTTCCCAGTTAAAACTCGTACTTTTCCAACTTCTCAATTCTTAAGATATTCACTTTCGGTCTCATCATAGATTTGTTTTAGTCTATTCATTTCACAATGTCTTATCAGCTTGCCGATTCCACTGACTGCTATCTCTAGCCTAACATCTTTGTCACTCCATCTAGTAAAATAAGGGTCAAAAGAAACAGTGCGTGTGCCTTTATCTCTTTTGTATCAACGAGGGTGATAAGGATAAAAAATATTCCCAAAGAGGGTACTTAGAAATTAGTACATTTTATATGAAAAGTCAAAATGATACGAGTGGTGCAGTTGAGTCCCAAGTACAACTCTATTTCTTCGTGTGGTATAAACAGTACTGTGTTATTGAATTAATATAAATTTAACACCATGTTAACAGTATCATTTCAACTTTATTTCGCGTGATCACAAAATATCCTAAAGAAGAAATTAAATACAGTCCGAGATGTTTCAAACTTACCAAATTCATCTTTACGTAACAATACCCAAACATTACATAGGAAAAAAGTTCGATACCATTTCTAACAAAATCAAAATCCTCCTCGAACTAAAACTTTCAGAAAACATCAATCATCGTGTTTTGCATTTCCATGAACATTTTTTTTTTTTTCAAATATCTTTCCGGAAATCAACAGAATCACCTCAAGAAGAACCAGAACAAGGCGTTTTTGAAGAACACTCTGCCCACCCTGGTCTTCTCAGTGACCTGGCCAAGATGGGACCTCAACTCGCGGTAAGGAATGAGCTAGAAATCGGCGTCTGAGATTTTTGTGTCATTATTTTAGTATTGTTAGGTATAGTGTCATTATTATTTTTGTTACCGTTTTTATCATTATTCTTATATTTGTTTTCGATATTAATGATAATGACGATAATAGTAATAGTAACAATAAAGATGATAATAATAACAGTAATAGTAACAAGATTGATAAAAGTGATAATGATTACAGTAAAAATGCCAATAATAATAGTAATAATAATGATAATAATAATAATGACAATAATAATAGTAATAATAATGGTGATGATAATGATAATGAAAACAATAATGATGATGATGACGATAATAACAGTAATAATAATAATAATGATAATAATAAGGATAATAATAATAATAATAATATAATAATCATAATAATGATAATAATAATAGTAATAATAATAATAGCAATAATAGGAATAATAATGTAATAATGATAATAATGACAATAATAATAATAATAATAATAATGATAATGATAATATTAATGATGATAATAATGATGATATAATAATAATAATAATAATAATAATAAAAATAATAATAATAAGGAAAATAGTAACAATAATAATGATGATAATAGAAGTAATTATAATAATGATAATGATTATAAAAGAGCAACATCAATACTTCCATTACTACTTCTACTGTACTACTACAACACTACTATTAATACTGCCATTACTAATGATAATAATAGTAAGTCGATGGCTCTGATGATGATAGTGCTAGTAATGGCAGCGAAGACAATAGGACAGTTACACTAACAGATGATTGAATAGTTATATGATATGGTAAGTGGTAGTTTTTTTTTAAATATCTGTCATTATTTGGCATAAGTGTAATCACATAATTAATAGCATAATTGAATTGGTATTGTTATATTTAGCCTTATTCTGCTATTGTCATTTCTTATGGTAAATCATCATAATATTAACAGAACAGGCATCATAATGTCGATCGTAGTAATGGTTATAACAAATAAGTATGCTAGACGTTAAAGGTCATAATAGCACTATGGTAAAGTTTTGTGGTAAAAAGGGTGGAAATGAGTTAACGATTAGGATAAGTGGACAGAAGGTGATGAGGAAGAGAAAGAAAAGAAACAGGGGAGAGGAGGCGAGGGCTGAAGTCCAAGGTAGGGGTCATCCCTACGCTGGGCCTCAATATCCGTCTCCTAAGCACCCCCCCAGTCGTAGTATTTCTTAGATTTTTCTTCATTTATGACCTTAATAATTAACCCCCATACAAACCAACAGCTGTGGGTCGTGGACGTCGCCGACGGTCGTCTGCCGGTCGAACGAGGTCATACGAATGTGTGCGAGGTCAGCCGCCTCCTTCGCCGAGGTCATGGCTCGCCTGGGTCACTCGCTGTGCACTTGCTCACGTGGGTGCATTGTTTTGTTGTAGTCTTGTGTTTTTCGTTTTGTTTTGTGTGTTTGTTGTGGGTGTTTTCTCTTCCTTTCCTTTTATTTTTTCCACACTATTGTCGTGAATTCAATATATGATCAGCCAGTAGATTCGGATGTACCATTATCAGGAGAGTATAGGTATGTAACCATATATCCATAATACATTGAATTAATTACATTAGTAATCATTATAAATGATTATAAAAACATGTATTTTATCCCATTAATTCAGCAACTATCAGGGAGGCAGTACCTTGGTGGTCTAAGTACACTGTGGCCGAATATCACGTTATTTTTTTCATCCAGCGTTTGCGTTCTGTCTAAGTTATAATTTCCATTTCTATATTTCCCTTCTTTATATGTAATTTAGTAATGGTAATGGTTAAAACAAATAAAAATAATAGACATCAAAAGGTCATATACCACTATGGTAAAGTATAGAGGCAAAAAGGGTAAACATGAGTTAACAACCAGGATAAGTGGACAGAAAGGGACGAAGAAGAGGAGGAAAAGTAAAGGGGGAGATGAAAAGACCCTGCAAACTTAGTTGAGGTGAGAGCTGAGATCCAATATAGGGCCGATCCCCAACCTTGGGCCTCAGTCTCGGTCTCCGTCTTTATATATAAACACAAAGATAGAAATATTTCGCTCACTCTCTCTCCAGGAGCACTATGGCGGGCGCCCTCAGTTCACACAAGTCTTCAAGAGAAAGACTGAAAGATGCTGGACTGCTAGACGGGACTTCGAGCTGCACTTTTTAGTAACCGAGATAAAACAGATGGCAAGTTATAAAGGGCATTGGATATTTTGTTTCTGTTTTCATTAAGTTTTGTAATGGGGGTGTTTATGGAGTTTGTGTCTACGGTAGTGTGTATTAGCGTGATTCTTACTTTTCATTTTTCTAGGTTTTCTTCTCTTTATTCATGTTTGTTTTTTTTTAATTATTTAGTTTTAAGTCCCTTTATTCATGTATCAGTTATGTACATATTACTCATGTAACACTCCAACAAGGAACCATCATAATCCTATGTTATACAACTAGGACTCACTTTTTTAATGCTAAGTATTATGAGATTAATTCACTTCTGAACTGCAAGCTTTTGTTCATTAGGAGCCAATCACTAAGTTTTATCCGATGAAATCAAAATGAGGTGTTTATTATTATAGAGGAAATCCCCTTTTGGGTACTGATGATACATTCATTTGTAATAAGAAAAGGAAAAGGAAGACCATCCCTAATCAATAACTTCAAGCCATACATACACACCAAGCAAGGGCATTTTCCAGCTTGTGTTGAACTATTAATATCTGACTTTTATGTATGAATTTGGGTGTGGTCTGGATATCCAATTAAGTCAATTTATAAGACTTTCTTTTTTATCCATTGCTAAAATGTAACAGATGGTTTTCCAATTAAAATTTGTTTTGTTTAGTTTCCATCTGACCTCTTCCTATATTAGACCTGTCACCACTCTTAAATATTCTAGTGATAGAAAAAAGCAATATGAATGGGAAAAGATATTAAAATATACTTACTTTATGTCCCTATATAAATATCAATATATTAAGAAATGGAGGGATGCTTTGCTTTACCCTTGTCAGTGCTAAAAATACTGATTTTTAGTTTGCTTACAATATGCTTCATGAAGGATGACAATGAAAATATGAAATAAAAATATACACAATGTATTTCAGAATCTTTCCAGGGAAATTCACACTAGGAATATATCCAAATCTTTTATTACAGTTAGAGAATTATGACTGTTTGTACATAACATCCAGTAAAAAGGTTACTGTTTGGCTACAGTCACAACAACTGTAAAATCAAGGTCACCACCAAGTACATTTCCACCAAGAGCAGAGAATCAATGCCCTACAACAGACCTTGATTTGGCTCTTCTCTGATCCTATTTTCATAATAATAGAAAATGTAGAAGTTCAACATTACTGCTAATAATTTCAAAGAAGAATTACCTAGAATATACTCTTCTTTGTAAACATTTAAGAACACTGACAATATGATGTATCTTATGAAATGCAAATATTTTTCTCCTTAAAGTAAAATATATCAGAGAAATAAATATATGCAAATTGAAATTACTTCTTTCAGCATTAATATCATGTACACTGCTTGATGCACTATGGAGGTCACTTTATTTTTACAATACACGAAATAAAGAAAAATAACAAGAGAATACAAAGGAAATGTACAAGCACTCCTCTTTATATCAATATTAATAAAAAAACATCCATCTATCCCTGACTCTCATACATCCTTAAATCTTAAAAAAAAGAAAAAGGAAAAAAAAAAGAAAAAATAAAAAACTAAAAAATAATGATACATTCACACAATTTGAAATTCCTAAATACACCTAATTTTAGCGGCCCTTCATCTGCTGTCTGCGTCTCTTGCCCGGCCTCATCTTGGCCGCGTTCTTCTTCCCCCCCTTCCCCCCCTTGGCCCCTCTCCCTGCCTTAAACTTGTTCCCCCCCTTCTGGAAGCCGCCCCCTTGCCGTGGCTCGTCGTCCAGGTCGTTTGCGTTGTTCCTCTTCTCGTTACGCCGAACGCCTCCCTTGCCGTACTTCCTGTCCTTCATCGCTCGCCGGAGGTTCGTTCTGCCAAAGATGGAGCAAGTTGTAGCAGACCAGAAAGGAAAATACTGGAGAAACTAAATCAAAATACGCAAAAAAAATTGTGTTTTTGAAACCAGAAAATGAGAAGTATGTGTAAGAACGTCTTCTACAACATTTCAAATGCATACATACATATATGTATATAAATGCAACTGACAAATAATTTAACTCTAAAAACATGCACATTCACATAACAGTTTCTATTTATTAGCATGATATTCTGTCTACAATTATTCTAATAACTCACTTTCTTCCATCTACTCTGTTTCTCTGTTCTCGTAGCGGTTTGTTGCTCAGGAAATCAATGTTGTCTGTTTTGCCCTGCAAATAAAAAAAGGGTTAGAATTCATTAACTCAAGCATAAACATCTCCAATCTTTACTGTACAACCACAGCCAAACGTGAATTCCAAAATTCTATTCAACACTCTAGGACAACCCCTCACCGCAAAAGATTTTCTTTATTCTTAAAGTAAAATGTAAGGTATGAGAACTGCCCTTATGTGGACACCTGCCTGAACAACTCACTGCAAATGCAAAATATCCTTTCTTGGAGTGAAGGCACACAAAGAAAAGTGTCAAAAAAGTACTGAAACTGTAGTTGAGCAGTCTCTACTGATGTATATATGTCTAGAAAATGTAAGATATGACTGCTTCCTAAGAAGGAGTTTCATCCAACCACTTTTTCTATAAATATTAGTGTAAATACTTCACTTTTAAAATGTAAACTCTACACTGCTACACACTATTCTCCTCATCTCTCTTCTCCTATTAAAAAAAATAGGGCAGCAAAAGCTTAAAAGCCTGAATCACGAACCAAAAACCTGGGATAAAAAAGCAGAAAAAAAAGTCCTCATTGACAAGAAGCTCACCTTCCTAAACTGTTTAACTTTCTCTAACATCTCTCTCTTCTCCTTGTGCTTCTGCTGCTCTCGCTCGATCTGGACCCTCTTGCCGAATTTCTTGATTTCTCTGATCTTCTTCACCTTCTCGCTCATTTCCTGCCCTGCCTTCTTGTTCATTAGCCTTTTCCGGACCTGGGGGGGATTTGTTTGATTTAGAAATGTGTGGATGCCAGATGTAAATCTTAGAATGTTTCTTGTAGAATACTCTCCAATTTCTTGGCATTTATAATGTTGGGGAAACTCCCTTAAGTTTTTGCTTTACTTCATCAATTTCTCAAAAAAGAGAAAATACAATATAAATAACACCCATTAAAAAAAATAATAATAAAAAATAAATAAACCAATCAATGAAAAACTATACACAAAAAAGGGTTAAAATCCAATCAACATTAACACCCTAACCACAATACTACCTTCTGCATGTGAACATCGCTCTTCGCCATTTCTGCAAAATAGTCGTCAGGCCTCAGCGTGGGCCTCTCCAGCTTCTCCAGCCGTTCGTAGCCGTCCAAGACCGCCTGCTGAGCCTGCCTGTAGAACATCATTTCCCGTTTGAAGTCATTGTGGATTGGGTCTTCATCCAGGTTGAAATTCTTCACTGTGCCTTTCATCCTGGTCTCGCGTACTCTGGCGTGCTCAGCTATCTGTTGAGGTCAAGCACAACTGGAGAATTTGCATAACCAGGAGTAATCAATGGGGTACCACTGTTGTTCCTGTGTTTTTTCTCTCTTTCTCTTCTTTTTTACATCACTACAATACTCCAAGATAAAAGATTCCAAAACTCAGGCAAGTCTACAGCAGAGTCAGTATTTGTTTCAGGCCTCTGTTATCCCCTTCATTAATATCAGCAGTCACCTTCAAATAGCTAAGGGATCAAGGTAATCTGCACACTGGAACTTCAGGGTTCATCATTTAGCATTACTTTTAAATTCAGTATTCTCATCACTCATTAACCAATTAGGAGGCCAGTCTTCAATTTCAATACATCATTTTTCTTTTTTTTTAATAGCTAATTATGTTCTTTACAGATTTAGATTGTAATTTCTGAGCTACGGATGATGTACTGCTTCTTTTCTTCTAAAAAGTGGCTTATGCTGATAACTTCCTTTACTTCATGTTGACCTGGTTACCTCGTCAGGATTTTTCAAAGGTTGCAATTTTAATATCCTCCCTTATTGAAAAATGAAAGTATGTAAGTAAGAAAGAAAAAAAGAAAGACAGACCTTCCTATCACAAAGTTGAAATGAGCCATACCTTCTTGATCTGTCAAAAATTATGGCTTAATCTATATACCAAAGGAAACGTATTTTTTAAAATGAATTAATATGACTAGGAAACTCACTCCTCATATCAGGGTGGATTTAGGAAGTACAGAAGCTTTATTTTTCTCATAATTTCCTAAAAATATACATTTACCTTTTCTCTTTACACTCTTTCTACTCGTATTAGTACACTCAAAATTAATATATGTCTGTCTGTCTGGCTATCTTTATGTATATATATATGTAAGGTGTATGTGTATGTGCATGCGTGCGTGCGTACGTGCGTGCATGGATGCATGTGTGTGTGTACCTATCTACCTATTTATCTATTTATCTACCTATTTTCTTGTCCAATGCAAAAATATATAAATTTCATAATTCACTTAATTTTCTTACTATATATTTTTCTTTCTTTCTTCTTTTTCATTTTCTTTTTTTTTTTTTTACACAAACACAAAAAAAAAAAACATTAAAATTTGGGAGGGCTATCAATACCAAAAATTACAAAATAAAAGTTGGTCTTCCTACTGGAAATAATAAATTCATCTTTTTCCACCATCAGTCCATATGAACTTGCAAGAATATTGGGTTGCACATAACAGATATTCATAATTGCCATGAATCAACCATAATCATAATAAAACCAACAAACATCTAATTGAAGGAACTACAAAAATACCCAATTTGGGGGTAAATCCCTCATGGTCAAATGACGTTCCAGAGATCAAGGAGGGACTCAAACTTTACTGAAGGTTAAAAAGTTCTCAACAGTTCACGTAGCTCTTGCTGTACCCAAGGCATATTCTAGGACATATCAGAGAGACAGTCCCCTTAATATCATCATTGTTCAGTTAACAACTGTTAACTATTAATGTAATTGTTCATCTCAGTCATCACTCTTCTCATAATATTTTTCTCATCTTATAGTATCACATGTTACTTCTGCTTTCATGATATGTGTTAACCCAATGCTGACGGGCATGGCATGTACATATATGCCATACCCACTGTGAGTTTACTAGTTTAATTGTTTTTACACATAGATGGCTACACTTGTACTAACTCACCAATGAGTCAATTACGAGTACTGCCTGTCACGCCCATTTACCCTTTTCCTTGATTACGAAAATAGTTTACTTTATCTTATTTTGCTGTTACTATTATTTATAACATCAAACTAATTACAATGTTTATAATAAAAGTGAAACCATCGATGTTCATAGTATAAATAAAAAATATATTTTCCCACCAATTCAAGGAAAGGTGAAATCAGGTAAGATCACAAGGTCTACTCATTGACTCTTTTATGGCTGAGCACTAGCAGAGCCATCTGTGTCCAGAGACAAAAATATAAAAAATGAGCACAACATTTTCCCCATTTTTTACTCATTTTCCCTGGCAGCATTGGGTCAACTATCAACTCTGTATTTTCTCATGAAAAATACATAAATATATAACTAAATAATAACTGTAACTGCTTTCACAATATCAAAGTTTGAGCAATAATTCTAATAGTTTGGTTTATAAGCCAGTACAACTTTATGGAGTGCAAATCAAAACAAGAGAAACTTCATATATAATGCATAGGGTAAGCTGCATATTTAGATTATTTCTAATTCTAAAGAATACTTGGGAATGTTAAAAAAAAGTACATGAGATCCTCAAACATTTTCTCAAACTGAAATCTGAATATCAGCCACTATGAATCTATAAAGCTACTGCATTAAAACTATCACAGAAAAAAAAGCTGACTTAACCCCTTCCCCGGCATAAACGTGTATACACGTTTTCACAAAATGTTCTTTTTTCAGTCGTCGACGAGTATACTCGTCTAAAACTTTACCTTCAAAAACCAGCTACATACGTATATACTCGGCAATTTTAAGCCTTTGTATGCCATTCTATGTGTGAAACGAGTATTCTCATCAAATCGTACGCCTGGCAGAGGCGATAGGGTAGAGCTGTGGGATTTCAAGGACATTGTTACTAGACTTGCTCCGGCAGCCATTGTTGTCGGATGGGTGTTGTTTGCACCCACATTTGCATTCATTTTTTTTTTTTTTTTTTTAGCATTTTCAAGTGTTACACCCAAAATGTCTAGTTCAACGGAAGATAGTGAATATGAACCTTCCCTCAGAAACTTAAATACTTCTGATAACTCTGCCAGTTCATCAGACAATGACTATTTCTCGACAAGTGAGGAGGAGGAGGGGGGTGAGGGGAGAGCTTGGAGAAAGCCGGAAAAAGGAATTTCATTTATTATGCATAT